TAAAAAAAATGGAAAAGAAATATTTATTATTATTATCGCCTTACTTTGGTAGACTTAGACTTAGATATTGAAATTTTTATTTTTAAAAAAAGGAATCTTTTGGATTGATTATGATTCTGTATGCACATATTTTGATACTATTTATATGAATTGGGATCCTAATCTTTTTGATCATAAATATGTTATACACTAGTAAGTATTATTAGTTTAATTGCATATTTCCCACTAGGATTATAAATTGGTTGACCTTTATCATCTTGAGGATAAATACAACCAGTAACCACCTGAGTTATAATCAATTGTTAATGATTTGTAATAGTCGAATAATAATATGTCGACAAAAAATGAAATGAAAAAACCTGTTTCTGAAATCTTCTTTCATATTCAGCACTAACACATAGAGATGCAACAAATGAACAATCATCAACCATATCCTAATAATAATAGCTATAATAATGAATATCATTATTATTAATAATAGCTTTAATTCAATTAATTAATAGTTACTTGTTTAATTGTTTCACTTGAAATTGTTACAATCATTCTAGGTTGTTTCATTATCTCTGAAGGACGCTTCCATTCACCAAACACTGCTATTTGTCTATTAGATAATTTTAAGTTCATATATTCATCATCCCTATTCAATAACAATGCATGTTCGTTTCTGATTTATCATTACATTTTTATAATAATGCAGTTAATAAATAAATGAATAAACTTAAATATTTCAAATAAATACCTAAATGGTTTATCAAATTTAAAATCTTCGTTTAAATCATCTTCCACCCATGGCAAAAAAGTTTTACCATTTATTACTGAATTATTTTTCAAAATTTCAATTTCTTCTTTTTTTAATCCTGATCCAGGTGAATAAAATGATAATCTTCCTTTTCCTGGATTATCTAATCATAAAACCAATAAGATTGAGTATTGTATAAAATCTTTCTAGAAAATAGACAAATATGTAGTAGATATATTAATGATTTACTTAGTAATGCCATAGTTTTTTTTGGTAATCCTTTTAAATCTTCTGCTCTTTTTAATAAATAATTTATTTTATTAGATAATTCTGATTTTGATTCTTGATCTTTACTCTCTAAATTAATCAAATAATAATAAATAATATTAGAATGAGCCATATTTAAATAATTTCTTTAGTTGTAATCAAGATATTTAAAGAATACGGCGCACTTCGACGAATATCTAAAAGTAATTGTACTGCCTCAAAGTATAAGTCCAATGCCTCTTGATAATTCTTTTTTTCATCTTCTATTACGGCCAGGTCTAATATTGACTTAAAAAAATCCAATTGTAATAATTATAATAGTAATAATAACATTAATAACATTGTAATTTTAAATTTTTGATATCCATAATAGTTTAAACACCTGTGCTTGATCTGATAATTGGCTAATTATTTCGGCATCAATTTGTTTGATACGCGTGCTATATTCTTGATATTTAGATAAAATCTTTTTCGCATCTTGATCTAATTCAACTACAAATTTAGTTCACACACATATTAGAAAAAAAACTTAAATTACTTGACACAAAACTAATGGTATTGATGAGGACTATAATGATAAAATGACAATGAATAATAAAGTGACTACTTTTTATTATTGAATCAAAAATCTGATTTTAAGAAAAAAATGATATTTTAATTAATAAATGTTAATGGTAATTAATAAATGTTTTAGAACTATCAAATTTGAACCTTTAACACTTCTAAATAAGAATTCCTCGCTATTTCTTTATTTCCATTATGATCTTCTTCGACGGCTTGTTTGGCTAGTTGAAAAGCTTGTTGATATAACGCAGCAAGTTTATTTTTAATTCCGTGATTAAAATTGTCACTCATAATTTGTTATAAATTCAAATGATGACGATAAATCTTTTTTATCTTTTTGAATGCTAAAACGCACGAAATAAGGGGAGTGCCCCAAATGAGTGGTTAAGTTACACAAATAATAAGTATGCCGCCGACAATACATACTACAGTCGGCGCTCGATATAGTGAACCTACTATATAGTAAATTGTACGATATAGTGAAGTTTTATATACTTGTACCCATTATATTAATTAGAGCTCGATATAGTGAAGTCATAAAAATTAGTAAATTTAAGAATTTCAAGTTAAATAATGAAAATAAATAAATTAAATGCGTTAGGCTTTATACCCGTAATAGTCTTAATCCACCAATTTCTTGCACGTCTTTTTTAATAAAAAATTAATATAATAAAATTTACAAAGTCATTTAAACTTAATAATATTTTTAAAAATAAACAATAAACAAATAAAATAAATTTTTTTACCTAAAACTGCATAACAATGTGCAGTAAAAAGTCCAACACATATAAGTTTTGATTCTTCTTTACCAGTAGCTATTGTAACCAATGCATGACCTAACATAAATAATAAATAATAGTATATCTGGAGTAAATAAACGGTTTAATTATAGATTGGATTCCTTGACAATTTTGGTTTTTTCTATAATACCATTTCTTTGTCCATTTAATAATTTATTCCATGTGTGCTCTTTTTCAAATTCCTCACTAATATTTATATAAATTATATATTATCATAATTATTTTTCTTGTAAAAAAAAGAAGCAATGATTATTATATATTTACTCTTCAATCAAAAATATTTCAGGTATCCATCCTGTGAGTGCACTGGATTCGTTTTTATTTTATTAAAAATTTGTTAAAAAAATAAATAAATTACTCGAAACTTGATATCATAAATAAATCAAGTTACTCACTAAAGATCGTTTCCTGAATTACTTAAAAGAAAAAAAAACAATTTAGTCTATATAGATAAATGTTGATTTCAAAAAGGTAAATTAAAGTTGATACAAACGATCCCAAAAAATCATACCCACCCATCAACTTTATGTACTAAAAAAAAAATAATTAATAATAAACAATTAATTCATTATTTAAAGATGTAATTAAAAAACAGGATATCATTAACTTACAGCCTTTTCAATGATACATGGCCATAATTCATCGTTACCTTTGGAATAAGTATACAAAGGTTTACCATTATTTGAGATTGGGAGTAAATCATCTATGACTAATAAATTGTCGTTATTATTAAATAATGATATTATTATTGTTATTATTTATTATGTATCACCATACTCACCAACCTATAAAATAATAGTTTATCATATTGAAATCATTGTGATTTATTTTTATTAAATGTTTAATAAAAAGTTCCAAGTGGTGCTCCACAATAAATAAAATAACATAAATAGCATACTTTTCTATAAATTCCATTACATATTAGTTTAATT